TCCAGGCTGGGCTACACACAAGGTGTTTTGGGAATTCAGGGATTCTGCAGCTTTCAAGCGCTTGAGCTGGAGGGGGGGCCAGGCGACAAGGCAAGCCCTCAAACCGGACCCCCTCAGCCCACAAGCCCCACAAACCCTGAACCCTCACAACCCGAGCTTGCAAGCATTACGGGTGTAGGTTTGGGGGCTCTGGCGGGCAAGGGCATCGGAAGTCTCCTTGCCTCAGGCAGCCAGATGTCGGGCATCGTGCCTTCACAAGAAACATCCCCCCAACAAAACGAAACCCACAACACAAAAAGAACTCTACAAACAACACAGAGACCCCAATCCACGGTTCCCTGGCCTGTTTTGGTTTCTCAAGGGCGCAAGGACAGCTTAGGGCGTAGGGCTGAGGGCTTGGGGCTTTTGGTTTGCAGGGCCCCTGCTCAACCGGCGACTTGGGACCTGGAGGCTTATCTTAAGGTCGATGGGTTTAGGGTTTAGGGTTCAGGGTTTAGGATTTAGGGTTTACGGTTGAGGGTTTAGGGTTTAGGGTGTAGGGTTTAGGGTTTAGGGTTTTCAACCTACCTTTTTTGTAGGTCGCCTCAGAATCCGATCAAGGGGCTTGCTCACAATGACAACCTAGAAGAAACCTAGGTTTTGGCTTCTTTTGATTCCGAAACTGAGCTCTGAATCCTAAACCCCAAACCCTAAACCCTAAACCCTAAAACCGGGCATCGGACTGCTCGGAAGCAGCCCTGGAGTCCAAACCACAACTTAGGTTTTAGGGGTGTTAGGGGTTTAGGGTTTAGGGTTTAGGGTTTAGGGTTTAGGGTTTTCGGGTTTAGGTTTTAGGGTTCAGGGTTAGGGTAAAGCCGACTTGAGGGGTCTAGGGAGGATTTCAGGCTCGGGTTACAAAGCTTAGAGCTTCCATCTTCGGGCTGGCTCCATGGGGAAACCCACGCCTCAAGGAACCCCCCCACCCAAGCATCCCTGAACCCTACAGGATTTAGGCCCCGAAACCCCAAATCCTGAACCTTGAACCCTAAACGGCCCTAAACCCTACACCCAAAACCCTGAACCTTGAACCCTAAACAGCCCTAAACCCTAAACCCTAAACAGCCCTAAACCCTAAACCCTAAACCCTCCCATGCAGAGGCCCAGGCTGATATCAAAGGGCACTGCGGAAGGACCTGGCCTTTGCAGCGCAGCACTACTTGGAGCTTTGGGTTTCAGGGTTTGGGCTTACGGATTTTGGGTTTAGGTTTTAAGGGATTTAGGGGTGAAGGGGTTTAGGGGTTTAGGGGTTTAGGGTTTAGGGTTTAGGGCTTAGGGTTTAGGGCTTAGGGTTTCGGGTTTAGGGTTTAGGGCTCAGGGTTTAGGGTTTAGGGCTCAGGGTTCAGGGTTTAGGGTTTAGGGGCTTCGGGGGTTTTTGGATTCTTGGGTTTCAGGCGTTTGTGTTTCTTAGTGTCTTGGGCTCAGGTAAATTTCAGAGCGCTTGGGCTTCGTCTGCATGGGAGTTATACCTGGGGCGGGGTGGTTGCGCCCTGGTCTTGCAGGGCTCTTAGTGCCAATGACATACCCAAATCTGGGAATCTGGAGGAGCCAGGCTCCGGCCCTTAGGATTTAGAGTTCGTGTGCAAGGTGCTGGCGAGCTCGGGCATGTTTCTTCCTTTGCCTTGTGCTGAAAATGCATGGTGGCCTTTGGAGTCTTTTGGCACAACTGCTTAAAGTTCCCAAGCTCGGTCGAACTCGGCCTAAACCTTCGCGGACTTCCTTTCAAAGCTCTGCCCAAAAAAAATAGGGTGAGGCTGGGGTCTGGGCAACTCCAGCATAAGCCCTCGTCAACGTCGAAATCCCCAAAAGTTTGGGGGTTTAGGGTTTAGGGTTTAGGGTTGAAGGTTTAGGGTTTAGGGTTTAGGGTTTAGGGTTAAACCACCGAATCCCATCTTGGGCACCTCGGGGCCTGTGGGGGAGAGGTACGGTGACAGCAGTCCACCTGCGCAGCTTGGGAAGGGGTGAGTTTAGGGCTAGGGTTTAGGGCTCACGGTTTACGGTTTACGGTTTAGGGTTTCGGGTTTAGGGTTTAGGGTTTCGGGTTTAGGGTTTCGGGTTTAGGGTTTAGGGTTTAGGGTTTAGGGTTTAGGGTTTAGGGTTTAGGGTTTAGGAGGGTTTAGGGTTTAGGAGGGTTTAGGATTTAGGAGGGTTTAGGGTTTAGGGAGGCTTAAGGGGCCTTAAGGGCCTTAAGCATCTTAAGGGTCTTACCTTGAGGGCCTTGGGCCCAAGAGCATCATGCGAAGTTGCCTTCGACCAGGTTGCCGAATAATGTGTTCGTGTTCGGAAACTAAGGGTTTAGGGTTTAGGGTTTAGGGTTTAGGGCTTAGGGCTTAGGGTTTAGGGTTTAGGGTTTAGGGTTTTGCGAGGGGAGCACAAGGCTTCGGGCCTTAGGGCTTTTAGGGGGTGCCCCCCAGTACACAGACTTGGAGTGCCTCCCATTTCTTCTCAGGAGTAAGGGGCTTCAGGGTAGAGGACACTCCCAGGTTCATGTAGAGGCTGTGGTTTCGGGCAAAAAGGCGAAGTGATTCCCTAAACCGAAAACATGCCCACGGCCTAGGGCCGAGGGCTTCAATCCTCTGGGCTCAGGGCGTTCTCAGGGTTCGGGCTCGCGAGAAACATAGTTACCCCAACCCCAACCCCCAAAACAAGCCCTCGAAACCTTCTTGGACCCGCACGTAAGAGGGCCCTTAGGGAACCCTGATGTACCCTAGAAAACCCGAGGGTCCATACCTCAGAACCCCCCTAAACCCTAAACCCTCAACCCTCAACCCTCGACCCTAAACCCTGAACCATTTAAAGAAAGGTGAGGGACCATCTTAAGGGGACCATGGAAGTGTCCTGAGAAACCTTCAGCTCCTGAAGCCGATGAGTCGATCGTTAAAGGCCCTTGAAAACTAAACCCTCGGCCCCATCCAGGGTTTAGGGTAAGGGTTTAGGGTTTAGGGTTTAGGGTTTAGGGTTTAGGGTTTAGGGTTTAGGGTTTAGGGTTTCGGGTTTAGGGTTTAGGGTTTAGGGTTTAGGGTTTAGGGTTTAGGGTTTAGGGTTTAGGGTTTAGGGTTTAGGGTTCAGGGTTTAGGGTTTAGGGTAAGTCGATGCTGCAAAACGGACTTGGGGGGGGGGCCTCCACGCAAGCCTCCTGCTCCTCCTCGGCACAGGCCGGAAGCTCAATGAGTTCCATGTCCTCCACGGAGCGCAGGTTATTGGAATTTTGGGGTTGTTTAGAGTTTTAGGGTTTAGGGTTTAGGATTTAGGGTTAGGGTTTAGGGTTTAGGGTTTAGGGTTTAGGGTTTAGGGTTCAGGGCTTAGGGTTTAGGGTTTAGGGTTTAGGGTTTAGGGTTTAGGGTTTGGGGTTTGGGGTTTGGGGTTTGGGGTTTGGGGTTTGGGGTTTGGGGTTTGGGGTTTGGGGTTTGGGGTTTGGGGTTTGGGGCTTACGGTTCTGAGGCTGTGCCGAACGCGCCCGGCTTTTCCGCCTGGGTTTAGGGCTGTAAGGCTTTAGGGCTTTGGGAGTAAGATGCGTTGTGGGGCTGATCAGCAAGACGCCAGATCCTCGGCAGGTGGTTCGCGATCTGGGCCTCTTTACGTCAACCACACACACGCGCAGCTTCGATCTTGTGAGATTCCAACAGGATTGAAGAGAGCCCATAGCTAAATTCAAATTAGATTATTGCCCAGGCTCTCGGACTCTGGCTGTGCGGCCTCGACATACCCGCATGGTCAGAACCATCAGTGGCTTGAAGGCAAGAGCCAGTCACGTGCTTGCTGCCCCCTGAACTCAATCAACCCCGGAGGCTGGAAATTCCATGACCCGAGATCCCTGCGCCCGCCACACTCCTGGAATGGGTCTTGTGCCGGGCGGAGGCGTGGGGCGGGAGGGCACACTGCCTGGGCACCCAAGGCTAAGCGCCCTGTGTCGGAACTCAACCCTAAAGCCCTAAAAACCTTACGGGGGATCTTCTCTCGCGTTTGGTGGAGCTTTCCGGCTTGAGGGGGGCTGTAGGCTCAGGGAAGCCGCAAAGAAGAAAGGGTTTGGGGGCTCAGGGTTCAGGGGGGCTCTAGCAGGTTTCGTGTGAAGACCCCTAGCCTCTCTTTTGGGGCTAGACTAAACAAGATCATCTCCTGTAGATTCTTATGCGAATACCAGTGACTTGCGGTGAGGAGTTGGGTCGGTGGTCACTGCTTGGGACAGCCAAGCGGCGGCCATCTCTGCGCTGGTCGGGTGGTTTTGGACCTGGCGAGCACACGAGTCACTGCAGGTCACTGCAGGCTGCGAGGTTGAGCTTGGAAACGTGGAAGCCCCGAATCCGAAACCTTTTTCGCCGAACCAGCGTGCTGGCTCCCTCACCTTACGGCTTAAGGGGGAGTGGGGGAGCGAACTTAGGTACTGCCACGGAGAGGAAACGGAACAAGCCGCACTTCCGGCTGACAAAACCCGAAAATCCCCAAACCCCCAAACATTCCATCCCCTAAAGTCCAAACCCCAAGCCTCAAACCTAAAATCCCAAAAAACCCTAAACCCCAAGCCTCAAACCCTCAACTTCCAGCTCACCCGGCACCCATCAGCTGAGGCCCCCTGCCAAACCCAGGTTTCAGGGCGAGCACTCAGCTCTTCTTACAAAACTGGAGCCAAAAAAGCGTCGGGGCCTCCATTGTAGGGGGGCTTAAGGAATCTAGGGTCTCGGGCTGCGGATCAAGAGGCCAAGACGTTGGCTTTTTGGGAGGTTGGCGGATGGGCTTCGGTTTGGGATTCTTCGGGGTGGGGGTTAAGGGGAACTTGTCGGGTCTTTTGAATTTTTGACTGTACGAGACAAAGCTGAAGGAATTGGAGTCCGGGTCAAAACTCTAGGCCAACGCTCTGACCCATATGTGTATATGTATATATATATATATATATCCCTTAGCTGAACACAACCGACTCCCGCGAGAGGGTTCGCGAGTAGACACTCTTCTCCGATAAGACATCTGCGTCAGAAGGGTTTAAATGAGATCGCACCATGCTGCCGGAGCAGCCGTAACACCTTCATTGCCTTCGGCCAGAACGCGGGAGACTTCGCAACGGCCCTGAGCTTGGGATCAGCACCCTGGCTCAGCAGCAGCCGCTGTAGCTCCGTGTGGCCCTGCTCTCCTGCCAGCTGGAGCGGGGTCTTCCCAAACATGTCCTTCACGTTGGGGTCGGCGCCACCGGCCAGCAGCAGCCCTGCCACCTCCTGGTGGCCGCTGTATGCCGCCAATCCCAGTGACGTCTTGCCTTCCTCGTCCTTCAGGTTGGGATCGGCGCCTGCACCCAGCAGCAGCCGTGCCAAGTCGGCCTGGCCCTGGTCCGCCGCATGGTGGAGTAAGGTCGTGTAGCCGACAGTGCGTATGGTGTTCAGGCGTGCGTGATGGTTCATCTCAAAGTCCAAGGACACGCGAAAGTCCACATCTGGGGCCGGGTGTGCGGACAGCAGCCTCTTCACCTCCACGAGGTTGCGCTGATCCGCAGCCTCCCACAGCCTCTGGACAGTCTCATCACGGAGGCGCTTCGCCTGCACCCAACTCACCCAACCCCTCCCTATGGCTACGAGTCTCCCATCGCCCAGATTCAAACCTATCAACCTGCCTCCAAACGGCTCCGGACGACGCCAGCCAACTGCTCGTCGAGCTCGCAGCCGCTGTCCGCACCACAATCAATGCAGGTCCAAGAAGGGCGCGAGAGCTGGGCAAACTCTTCAGCCGTGAAATGCTTCTGTTGGTAGAGCTCCCACAATCCTCCCAGGCCTGTGGCCAGCCGCTGCCGAAGATAAGGACTGGTGTCGCTGCAGGTACCTTGAAGATCGATCAAGATCACCTCAGCTCCCCATTGAGTGGTCCAAGCAGCATTCCCGACGGTCGGGATCTCGTACTGGGCAAGGACGGAGTCCTTCAGTGGCCGGGCACCCTCCATCTTCTTGTTCACCAGCGCCACGACACTTCCTTGGCCAGAAAATTGCATGCCCCTCACGAAGAACATGCTGGCGATGGACCAGAGGTTTGCGGCGAACTCCGAGGTCAGGCGGTTGCCGTAGCACCCACTTAGCTCGCCACCATCTGCGATGATCTGTCCCAGCTCCGTGGTCGGATGGACCGTCTGATGATCCGTCAGCTCCGCAAAGTGGGCGAGATTGCTTTTGCCGGCCCGGCCCGAGGGCTCGGCTTGCCAAAACCCGGCCCACAAAAGAGCGTGCTTCCCAATACTAGCCAACTTGGGCAGCCAGTCTCGCATGAACCACAGGGCTTCCAGCAGTGGCAGGGTGCTCTCCAGCGGCGCTCCACTCAGGAGCCGATCGAAAGGGACTTGCATGGCCCGCAGGAGGGTGCGCCCATGCAGAAAGACGTCTGCTGCACTCTGGCCACAAGTCCTCCATCCTCTTGTTACTTTCAGGTTGGAAAGCAGGGTCTTGCAGTTGTCCCGAAGGTCTCGCAGCATGCGGTATAACTGCATCTGGCACAGAGAACTGTTCTCGGAAAGCTGGAGCTGCGACAGCCATTCCCTCATGGATTCCTGCATTCTCAAGGTTTTGCGATGTTCTGCGGCAGGAAGGTTCAGGCGTTCAGGGTTCAGGGCGTGCGGTGGCTGCAAGGTGGCTCCTGCGTCATGATGTCGGGCGGCAGCTCGGTCGTCTTGTTGGGGCTGGACAGGTACCCTGCAATCTCGGCCTGGAGTTCTTCGGCGGTCAGGTACTCCACCGAGAGGCCCTGCTTGCACTTCAGCAACCCATCCCTGAATCCTGGACCCGCCCTGAGCCCTTAAGCCAACTGTTCCGAGGGCCTCCAAAAACCATGTTGAAGGCACCAGGTGCCTTCTGAATACATGCAACTAGACTTTGAACAAATGTTCAGGAAAGGTTCAGTTCACCCCGAGCCGTATACACACTGCCGCAGCCTCGAAAGCCTTGAGTAGCACAAGAAGCAGCTACCGACGGGCCTTGCTCTTGCGTGTCATAGGCATTTATGATGCTCAGGGTTCAGGGTTCGGGTCACCCCGCTTATTTTCGGACAACTGCCCATATATACATTTACCAAAACAGGCGTACCCCTTTTATCCCCCAAGTAGTATCGCCTCAAAAAGGGTACCCCTATCTCGGACAAATACCCACATTATCAAAATTATGAGGAGCCCCTTAGCCCCCCGTGTCGCCCCTGTCAGCCTCATAGGCTGCGGCATCCACCCGACCGCCTGCCCAAGTTTGAAATTCGGGTAGAGGGTTAAGGGTGAGGGTTTAAGGTTCAGGGTTTAGGGTTTAGGGTTTAGGGTTTAGGTGTTAGGGTTTAGGGTTTAGGGTTTAGGGTTTAGGGTATAGGGCTAGGGGTTCGAGGGCTTATAGGGTGAGGGGACTGAGGGTTGAGAGTTTTGGGGGCTTGGCTTTTGGGCCTCGGTCCGCACGGTCGAAGTCGGAATACACGCGGGGCTCTTCGCGGCCTTGCCCATCAACACGCAAGGCCCGAAGCCCCCAACAGCTCAGCGCCACAAAGAGGCAACAGACTCGCATGCGCCCGAGGATGCCATATGGAGGTTTCCGAAAAAGAGGGGTTATTGGAGTCCTTATCATAAGGAATCCTCCTATTTGGAAAGGCGAAACTAAGGGTCCCTTATAAGCCACCATCTCGAAGATGAAGGCTAAGGTTGGCAGACTGCGGAGAGCTGTAGAGCCCAAAGCCCGGGGGTATGAACCAACTCTCATTTTGTGTACTATGTGCTTAAGAACCCCCGAGACAAACCAAAGAAAGCAATCCCTGTAGTACCCTTACAAGGAAGATTATTGTTTCTTGTTTTGGGGGGGGTGCGGGGCTCTCAAGCAATCAGCAGCCACAGCCTACGTCCTCTAAGTCCCGAGCTCCTCAAATCCTCCACGGGTTTGCAAGCCCGAAGTCTTCAAGGCCCCCCCGCCGGCTGCCCGACATCTAGCGCTACAGGTTTTAAGGGCTACTTGCAAGGAGGGTGTGGAGTTTAGGGTTCAGGGCTGTTTGGGTTTTGGGGCTGGTAGCTCAGGGCACAAGGCTCCCTAACCCAAACCCGAAACGCCAAGGTTTCGGGCTTAGGGTTTAGGGTTTAGGGTTTAGGGCTTAGGGCTTAGGGCTTAGGGCTTAGGGCTTAGGGTTTAGGGTTTAGTGTCTGGTGTGCAGGGTTTGGGGGTTTAACCCCTCGGCTTTTTCATCCATCACGGCGTCTGCGGCTCTCAACTCACGAGGGCATCGGCTTCTTCTCATGCCGAACCACCTTTGGTCCCTCGGGCCTGAGAGGCTTTGCTTTAGGGGGTTTAGGGTTTAGGGATTGGGGATTGGGGATTGGGGATTGGGGATTGGGGCTTAGGGTTTAGGGTTTAGGGTTTAGGATTTAGGGTTTAGGGTTTAGGGTTTAGGGTTTAGGGTTTAGGGTCAGGGCTGTGCGGGTTTGGCGGATTTAGGGATTGGGTACAGGAAGTTCGGGGCTCTTCCTTGAACAGGCTCTGGGCTGTTGGGTTGCCGATGTGGCATCTTGAAGCAAGGCTCAAGCAGTTGGGAAGGTGCTTCAGGGTTTAGTTAGGGTTTAGGGCGCAAGACGTAAGATTTGATTTTGTTGCTCGATCATCTGGACGAAGCCCACTCATGATGTTCGGAGTTCGGGACCCAGCAGCCAAAGAACGCACCGGCACCTAAAAACAAAACATCTACGGACCAAAAGACTGAAGGTCCGACTCCGCCGCACAACCTGGATCTAGTCATCAAGGATCATTCCACAATGCACTGATCCACAACCCACCACGTTTAAACAGTGCGCCAACCATCAGACTTCAACATAACGTCAACTCCCAAAGACCAAGGCGATTTTGGGGCTCCCTAAGGCCGGCGTAGACGAACAAAATGCGCGGAATTGTTGGACCCGCGCTGAGCCGAAATCTGCCTCGGCTTTCCCAGGGTGCAGGATGCTTCGGGACGAGGGGTCGCAGTCAGGAGGGGCTCAGATCTCCTCTCCACTTCAAGTGACCCAGAGTTTGTATTGCTTCTTCTTGGGTTTAGAGGTTAGGCTCGTGGGCTCGAAGGGTTGAGGACTGCTTTTTGCCGCGCTTGCCTTGAACCCGAAACCTAAAACGACCCAAGAGCCTTATGCCCCAAACCCTAGCTCGGAAAACTCACGGTGCCGTTTCATCTGGGTCGAGACACCCCAAGAATGCAGTTCAGCGCCTTCCAACCCAGGTGCTTCAAAACTGTTGAGGTTTGGGAATCTTTCTATCTATAGTTGTAGTTGTACTTGTAGGAAAAGCTTCAGTCACAATGATAGAGTTGTAGCGGTAGTAGTCATGGTTATGGGTTTCTTGTGTAGGGCTTGCTGGCTTTAGGAATCTTTGATCGAAGGCTTCGTGAGGCCTCAGAGGAGGTCAAACCCCCCCCCCCCCCCCCCGCAAGAACTCGAATCCGCCCCGCGCCAACAAAGAAATGCAACCCCCCTCCTGGGGCTTTAGCCTTTACGTTTTCGGGTTTTGGGTTCGCCGTTTAGGCTTTAGGGTTCAGATCATTCCGATGTGTAGCAATAAGAATCACAAGCTAAAGGATGCCCGAAGAGGCGCCCCCGAAGGTCCCCAGATGCTCAGGATGCCTCCCCCTAAACCCTAAACCCTAAACCCTAAACCCTAAACCCTAAACCCTAAACCCCAAACCCCAAACCCCAAAACCCTAAACCCTAAACTAACCCGCTTGCATCAGGGGCCCCAACTTCTGGCTCGTCACATCGGCCTCGAGGTTGATCAGGCGCCGGGCCTGGGAGTCAGCCAACGGCTTCTCGTTGAGGGCTTCAAGGGTTTAGGGTTGAGGGTTTAGGGCTTCAGGACCTTTCAGGGGAGGGGGGGGGTGTTAAGGGTTTAGGGTTTAGGGTTTAGGGTTTAGGGTTTAGCACTTAGGGCTTAGGGCTTAGGGCTTAGAGCTTAGGGCTTATGGGGGTTTGCAGGGTTTGCAACAGGGGGTCAGGGTTTTGGGGCTGAGGGTTTGGTGCTGGGGCGGCTTCGTTGCGCCCTGGAGTCATCAGATCCCCGGAGGATCGACATAACTCATGGGCCCTTGAGGGAACGTCCAGTAGAGAAAGAGTCCCTGTTTGCTGTAAAGAAACAGAAAGCCCGAACTTGGATCTACTCCCAGTTTCACGAGGCCGTTCGATTTTTATCTGATGGCTGAAAGCTTAAGGTGCTGAGCGGCATGTTCAACTGCAACCATCCGACGCACACGTCAGAAAGGCCAACACCCTAAACCCTAACCCGAAACCCTAAACCCTAAACCCGAAACCCTAAACCCCAAACCCTTAAAAGCAAAAACAAAAAACAAGCGCTATGCCCACCCCGGCACTCCCGCCAGGTCCCCGGCAGCTCCCGCCAGCGCGGCGCGGAACTTCGCATTCTGCTCCTGAAAGAAGGCATCGCTTTCACTACTCGTGGCATTCCTAAACACGAAAAACACCCCCCAAAAACCAAAACCCCAAACCCGAAAAGCCTGAAACCCTGGTTCGGGGCCCCACTATCGAGTTGACGTTGCTTGCAGATTCCGTACACCCCCAACTCGACATGGACAAGCGAAAGCCTGAATGCCAAATCTGCCAACTTGGTGCAAGGTCGCCAAGCACTCAGAAACACAAACGTGCAGCAACTGTGCCCCCGCCGCAGTGGAGAAGCAGCAGAGCTGCATCAAAGTTCCCTTTGGCGACAGCTCACAAGCTACTTGCCTCGCCAAGAAATTCCGACTCCATCGGAGACTCCGAAGGTGTTACAGGCGTCAGAGAGCAGTGGACTGCTCGACCATATGAGAGGGAGCTGCTGGATCCCAGCACTAGCCAGGTAAGTTTACACAGCAGCGGCCTGTCATTTACTTGCCGAAGAGAAAATTTTGAGCATGGGGCACAGCAAGCTGCGCCTTGCACCACTTTGACTCACGGAGGGTTCGGAGTGTCGGGGTTCAAGTTCGGGGGCTTGCGGGGCCCCGGAGGAAGCCCGGTGTTAAGGTTGTAGAAGGAATTAGGGTTCAGGGTTCATCAGTTGCTTTAAGCCCTAAACCCTGCTCGCAGCGAAGCCGGAATGCCGACATGGGCAGCTCTCTACTTGTTTGCTTGTTCGGTGGAACACTCCGGCTCCGCATGATAGCTCGAGACCCTTACAGCCCTGAATCCTAAAACCCAAAACTTGAATCCTAAACCCTGAAAACCCTTAAACACCTTAAAGGCCCTAAACTCTGACAACCATACAACCCTCCAAACCCATCTGGACGCGGACACAGCTTGCATGCATCCAAGGCCTCCCCTGCCAACGCTGCATGCCCCAACGGAGAACTCGAACTAGTTCAGCCGACCAGGTGAGAGTCCCCCAGTGAGCGCGTTAGCCCATTGCCCCACTGTCGTGCCGCAGCACGTTGGCCTCAAAAAGGACTCCCGGTATAGCACCTCACGCAGCGTGCCCCGCACCCGGCCAGCGGTGCGCAAGCTGTTGAAGCTTCAAGACTCCAACAGCCTGTGGGTGAGGCGCAGAGTGCGCATAGAACGACACAAGAAGTTTCCCTTGGTACACGATGCGACCTCGTCACGGGAAAGTACGACAGAAACTAACGGAACTCTTTACAGCACTTTGCGTCCAAGCCGACAGCAACCTGCAGCAAGAGCTTGACATGTTTTTTGCAAGGAGGTGGTGGGCAGCGCTGGTGGTGCTGCGCGATGTTCTTCGTGGAAATGCTGCGAAAACTGCCGCCAACTTATGCAGAACAGCATAGAAACCCAAGCTCTACGACGAACTCCAAGAAACCAAGTCTCAAAGCATCCTTAGAGCCCAGCCTCGGCCCTGGCTTGACCCTCAGACATCCCCAGCCCGCCCCTTAAATCCGACCACGGGACTGTCGTTTACCACAGACCCTAAACCCTAAACCCTAACTAAGCCCTAAGCCCTGAACCCTAAGCCCCAAGCCCTCAAACAAAGGCCTCCAGGGCCGACACGCGGGTATCGGAGGCACCGCCCGAGCCCCGCGCCTCTGCAGGCAGACTTGGGGTTCAACGTGCAGGGTTTAGGGTTTAGGGTTTAGGGTTTATAGGGTATAGGGTTTAGGGTTTATAGGGTATAGGGTTTGGGGTTTAGGGTCTAGGGTTTAGCGTTTAGGGTTTTTGAGGTTTTTCAAGTTTCGTGCCTATACTATGCCACCCTTGTTCGGCAGGTTAACCCAAGAATGAACAAGGGGCTCGGTTTCTTGCGCAAGGGGGTTTCCACGAAGGGGTTGAAAACCCCCGCCCCCCCAAAACCCTAAGCCCTAAACCCTAAACCCCAAACCCCAAACCCCAAACCCCAAACCCAAAACCCCAAACCCTAAACCCTAAACCCTAAACCCCAACTCCTTACGGGCTTAGGATCGAGTCCACCGTCCGACGCAGCCGCAGCGGGGCCTCAAGCGCATCCAGCCGGGCAGCCGCCTTCTTGCTGGAGGCCACCTGGCTCACGCACCAAATCCACTCACAAAAAAATAAGATACGAAAAGTAGGCTATGGACCGTGGAGCCCTCTAGGGCATAGGGTTTCGGGTTTCGGGTTTCGGGTTTAGGGGTTTAGGGATTAGGGCTTAGGGCTTAGGGCCATGACCTGAACCTCCTGAAGCCCTGGGCCTGCTCCTCCAACTCGTGCTTGAGCTCCGAGTTCTCCTTCTCGACCTGTCAGACCCCTGGCCTGACACCCTAAACCCTAAACCCTAATCCTAAACCCTAAACCCTAAACCTTAAACCCTGCTTTTGGTTTGGGGTTTAGGGTTTCGGGAAGATCTGGTTGCAGCAGCTGTTGTTTGAGGGGCATCTGCGGAGTTTAGGGATTAGGCTTTAGGGTTTAGGCATTGGAGCAGTGCGGATTTGGAAGGTAGGGGGCCGGGGTAGAGCGGGGAATGAAATGGGACCTAGAGAAGTGGAGATGTAGCGACTTGCCTATGCGTGGGGCTTAGGGTTTCAGGCTTATTTAGGGTTTAGGGTTTAGGGTTTAAGGCTTAGTTGGGGTTCATGGTTTCTTCCCCTAAGCCCTAAACCCTAAACCCTAGGAGGCATGCCAGGTCCGACTTGGTGGCTAGAGGACGTGGAGGGTTTAGGGTCTGGGTATAGGGTTCAGGGTTTCGGGTTTAGGGTTTAGGGGTTTAGGGTTTCGGGTTTAAGGTTTAGGGTTAAGGGTTAAGGGTTTAGGGTTTAGGGTCGGGCAAGCGACCTGGGCAAGGTGCACATTGACAGTTTAGGCCAGGGTCTCTGGGGGTTTAGGGGGCTTTTCGTGCTCATTCAGCATCTGGTTTCTCGGTTCGCCTCCGCTTCCTTCGTCTCTGCCTTGTGCAGGGCCTCCGCGGCAGTCTTGTTCAAGGTCGGGGGGCACTTTAGGGTTGAGAGAGCCAAGAGCCTGAACCCACGAGAGTTAAGGCTGAAGTTGCCCTCAGGGCTCTCGGGAACCCGAACTCAACCTGATAGGAACCTCCGAAGCCGCGAACCTGAAAAGTGCCCCTCGCCTCCTCCAACTGGCTCATGCGTTTCGAATCGGTGGCCACCTCTTGCTGAAGGCTCGCCTCATGTGCACTGGGCGCCCCGAGTTTTGGGGCTTTGGGAAGAAGCCGAGGCTTTTTTCGGGTTTAGGCCCTTTAGGGTTTATCAACTAGGAGGCTTTTCAGCAAGTGAAAGGACCCTATGCTTCCAGGGCCTCGCTCTTCTCGACGCTCTCCACCCTCTGGAAGGCCTTGCGGGGGGTTTCGTCATCTTCGGCGGAGAAAAGCATCTGGCAGATCATAGTGCCTTCCCCATCGCTAACCAGAAAGTCTTACAATTCAAGTCAAGACCATGTTATGGAAGGTTTCACACGCAAGGTGCGGATAGGAGGCCTTTTCAGAAGAAAGCTGTGGATGAAACAAAGGATGAGGAACGCATATACTGTGGCCACATTGGCACAATGCGCCACCGAGCTTTCCAGCACACGGGGACGGAGCATTTGAGACAAGGGCAGATGTGGGACGCAGCTGGCAACATGTTCTTTGTCACTCATGCCTGGAGGCTTTATTCCCCAGAACCTTCCGAGCGAGAAGCCTTTTGGAAAGCTCTGGATGCCCTGGATTCTCCGGAAAGTGCGCATCTGGAAAGAGCGCAGCTAACGTCACTCGCAGTGCTGGCCTGGTTGTAGGCAGAAACAAACAGTATTCCGAGCAGAATGGCTATTCTTGTCCCGTTCTTGTCCGGGACATCAAACATTGCGACAATGCGGCGGAGGCGAGAGATGCCTCGCGCAAAAACAAAAAACAAAACAGGAGAGACTCATGTTCGAAAATACCTGCTTGGAACCAAGGCCGGCGTTGTGGCAGAGTAGGAGCTAGTACCTTGATGTGGGTCAAAGATGGTCAAAGCACACCAAAATGTCTTTCAAGTGGTCCATCATGATGATGTTTCGTGTACGCTGACACCCAAGCTAAGGCGCTTCTGCCTTGTTCAGAGTGGTCATGGACGAGAACGAATGATTGTGGTTCGAGTGCCAGTGCAGTTCTGCTTTTGGACCGCCTGCCTGGTTTCAAGTCAACTCCTAAACCCGCCTAAGCCCTTACTTGTACGTGCACGTCTCTGCAAGCGCCTGGACGCCCTTTGCTAATCGCCGCGCCAGCTCTTTCCGCAAGGCCGACTTCGCCTGGCAGCGGGTCAGCGGGCCCAGCTCCTTATCCTACGATCTGCAATCAGGGTCCCCTGATACGCAACTTGTGAAAGCAGCCCTCCCACGATAAGGAGGAAACCCTCCCATCTGCCTGGGCTTTGGTCATCTTCTGCAGGTCACCCTGCTCCTCCGCAATGTCACAGCTCGCAGCTTCAGGGTTCGGGGTCAGGGCTTACATAGAATCCCCCTGTACCTCTTCAAAACAACTACCTCAATGAAGCTCACCAAACCAAAAAACACTACCTTTGAAATAACTGAAGACATTCCAGTTTGTTGCTGTTGGGTCAGGGTTTTGGACTTCTTGGTTTGGGGTGTAGAGGTTGGGGCTCAGCTTCACGACCGCAGGTTCTAGATTTAGCATTGGGAATGTAGGATTCTACACATGTTAAGTCTGTCCCCTTCATTGATGGCAGATGCACATCATAAACCCTGCAAGCCCACAAGGCCGCTCCCTTGAAAAATTGAGGGTCCAGAGCCCGGAGCTTTAGGGCGGGTGCAAGGCTTCAGCTTCAGATTGTCCAGCTCGCAACCGTTGAGCAGCGTTTCATAACCCGAAACCCGAAACCCTAAACCCTAAACCCTAAATCTAAACCCTAAACCCTAAACCCTAAACCCTAAACCCTAAACCCTAAACCCTAAACCCTAAACCCTAAACCCTAAACCCTAAACCCCGCCCGGTGGACCTGTGACTGGGACTGGGCCGCCTTCTCCAAGCTGCCCTGGTCCTGCCCAAGCTGCGGCTGCCACACTCCCTAAACCCCAGAAACCCAATGAACCCCGTACAGTACACCCCATAAACCCTTTAAACCCTGTCAACCCCCTAAACCCCATCATAAACCCTGAATCCTAGACCCGATTCCCTCAACCAAGGTTTAGGGTTCAGGGGTGTTGGGGTCGAGGGCTTCGCGCTCCTCGCCCTTCTTCGCCTCCTGCTGGCCGAGCTTCTGCTGCCCTCGCACATTAGGAGGGGCAAGTGGGGGTCGGAGGTTGCCTAATGGGCCCCTGAATGAGGGTCCTAAAGCTCCTCAGGGTTCAGGGACTTCAGGGTTTTTGTAGGGCTCTTTTGGAGCCCAGTTTGGGAGTTTGGGTGGCCGGGGGGTGCGCAGGCCCCGGCTTTGAAGCCCCCCTGGTAGCCTGCCTCCAGCCAGCTGCTGCTCTGCGGCGAGGCCTGCCATTGCCTTGGGAAGACAAAGGGAGACTAAGGGTGTTTATTTGGGCGTTTGGGGTTTCTATTAGGGTTTCCATTAGGGTTTCCATTAGAATTTCTATTGGGGTTTCTACTGGGGTTTTTGGGGTTTAGGAATGTTTAGGATGGATGGATGGGCCGAAGGCTTTGGCGTCTAGGGTTCAAGGTTTAGGGCACGCAGCTCTTGCACAGCTTAGGCTTGAAGGACCCCACGTCGCTCGACACTTTAAGGTCGCACAGGTTTGTTCCAGCCATGGTTTAGGGTTTAGGGTTTAGGGTTTAGGGTTTAGGGTTCAGGGTTCAGGGTTCAGGGTTTAGGGTTTAGGGTTTGGGTTTGGGGTTTAGGGTTGCTGCTTCTCCACAGAGGATCAGTGTTGCAGGCTTAGGGCTTAAGGTTGGAGTTTAGGGTTTCGCATGTGAGCTCAAGGCTGCAATTCAGCGGCAGAGCCCCCGAGTCCCTAAACCTTGGAGACCAGTCTACCTCACCTTCGCCAATTCTTCACCTGCAGAAAAAAATTAAATAAATAACTCAAACTAAAACTAAACCTAAAGCTAGAACTAAAGCTAAAACTAAAACTAAAGCTAAACGAAAAACCCTAAACCCTTAACCCTAAACCCCAAACCCAAAAAAGCAACAATAAAACGCCTTGAAGCTCTGAAACTCCCTTGGGTGTCCTACCCCCACAGTTGGCATGGCCGGTGCCGTGGCTACCTGGAGACGTCTAAGGTCGCCATTTAGGGGGTTTAGGGTTTAGGGTTTAGGGTTTAGGGTTTAGGGTTTAGGGTTTAGGGTGTAGGGTTTAGGGTTTCGGGTTTAGGGTTTAGGGTGTAGGGTTTCGCCTTTTTTCGGGCTTGGGGATTAGTAGGTTGGGTGGCTTGGTGCTTTGGGTTTGGGAGCTTCCGGGAGGGTGGGAGGTTGTAGACGTCACGGTTTAGGGATTTGAGTCTGAGGCATTTGCGGTTCTTTTGGCGCTCAGAGTTAAGACTTGGGCGTTTATGGTTGAGAGTTTCTTCGAGTCTGGGGGCGAATGTCGGTGCTCCAAGTAGAAAATTTACGCTCACGGTCCCCTTTGGGGCCCTATTGTTTTTAGGGTACCCAAGAAGCAGACCGTTTCGGGTTTGCGGTTGGCCCCTAGAACTTCCTAAAACTCTCAACCTGAACCCCCAACCCCAGCGGCCTGTGGAGGGGTGCGCAGAGCTGTGGTTACGGACCTTCCACGACGCGAAGGGCTGGGAGGGGTTGGGGTTGGGGTTTTGGAGAGGGGTCTGGGGGTTTGGGCGGGGTTGGGGGTTGAGGGGTTCTCTAGCGCAGTGCGGTTTAGGGTGAGCTTCGGGGCAAGGAACTGTCGGGATGCGAGCCTTTGTTTCTAGAACCTAAGGGGCCTACATCCATGCGCTGATTCACCCGACTGAACCGTGAAACCCCCAAAGCGCGCATATCACAACCTCATCTGCCGTAAACCCTAAACCACCAAAAGTCCAACACTCTCAGACACCAAAACCCTTAATTCTTAAACCACCGAAACCCTAAACATAAACCACCAAAACTTTAAGCCCTAAACCCTAAACCACCAAAACTCTAAACCCCAAACCACCACAACCCCACACCCAAAACTGCCAAAGCCCCAAAACCCCAAACGCACAGACGAGGCGCGGCGGCGCTGGCGCTGCGGTCGTGGACCTCCGGATCGCGAGTGTCGAATTTGAGGTTTAAGCTGTTTCGCGTTTAGTTTAAGGTTTGGGGTTTAGGGTTTTAGGCTTTGGGTTTAGGGTTTTGTTGGTTTTTGGGTTTAGGGTTTCGGTGGCTGTTGTGGGTTAGGGGTCTAGGGCTCGAGGGGCACTTCAACACGCAGTCAAACCCTAACAGGAAGGTTCTGGAACCGAACCGGAACCGCACGAACCGAACCGCCACGAACCGAACCGCCAAAACCGGCCAGCAAACACGAACCGTAGGAACCGCGAACCGCAAGCGACCTGAAAACCGGAACCGTTTCGACAGCGAACCGGTTTCGGCCAGGAGCCCAAGTCAAATAGAGCATGATACTGAAAGGTTTGGGTCCCTCCAAACTTGTTTTGAAACAATCAAACTGTCGCAAAAACATGACTCGGTTCTCGGCTAACCCTCCAAAATTGAAGGGTCTTGGAGGTGCAAGGCTTGAAGATATCATGGTTCTATCCGGATTTTCAAGGCCTAGAATCAAGTTTTGGCCCCTTCAAACTCGTCATTGGAGATGCGCACAGAGCCCCAAACATTTCTGTCACGATTGGAGTGAAGAGGTTTTGTCCAGGTTTCGAGGTCCTTAAACCTATATTGCTTGGTCTCGGGGGCCAGAAGGATAATTCCAATCACCTAAACTTTCTACTATTTCGGGGGTACGCAGGACAGGTTTCCAGGTTTGGACCTCCCAAAACGTGCAGGTTTCCAGGTTTGGAACCCCCAAACGTGCAGGTTTCCAGGTTTGGCCCTCCCAAAATGTGCAGGTTTCCAGGTTTGGATCCCCCCAAACGTGCAGGTTTCCAGGCTTGGATCTCCCAAAACGTGCAGGTTTCCAGGTTTGGACCTCCCAAAACGTGCAGGTTTCCAGGTTTGAGCCCCTTAAAACGTGCAGGTTTCCAGGTTTGGACCCCCAAAACGTGCAGGTTTCCAGGTTTGGACCCCACAAATCGTGCACGTCTGTAGGTTTGGACCCTCCCAAACGTGCAGGTTTGCATGTTTTGGGGCGTCCAAACCTGGAAACCTGCACGTTTGGGGGGGGGTCCAAACCTGGAAACCTGCACGAACCTGCACGTTTAGGGGGGTCCAAACCTCGTTTTGGCAGGTCCAAACCTGGAAACCTGCAGGTCCAAACCTGGAAACCTGCACGTTTCGGGGGTCCAAACCTAGAAACGTCAACGTTGAAACGTGCAG